CTTGAATTTCTAAGCTTTTGGGTGACGCGGTTTTTACATGATGGCCAAGAGAGCTGTCATGTAGATTAAAAAAATGACTTATTTCAGGAAATTTTGCTATCTAAACAGTTCATGTATTAGAAAAAGTATAAACTCACGCTTTTGTAGCCAAACACGATAACAGATGTTTCTGTTGGTTTCCGTCCGCCATGTTGAAGCTCATCCAGGTGAACACTAGCATGGCGTCTGCATACAAATCTCTATAAGTTTGGGTAAAACATTTCTTCAGATATCTCGTATACGAAATATTCCTCTGACCTGAATCTTGGCGAGGGTCTTTGTATATGTACCTCCTTTCATTTCCCAGATTCTGGACTTTATCTATTGAACGGTTTTGATTTTTATTTTGATCTATTTTGAATGGCGTGACACTGAAAATCAGCAATTCGCAACACAATAACATTCCATAAATATTTCTGTTGTTCACGGTTTTGTGAGTTTTACAATAGTGAGATATAAAGATTTTTCTACATATTTCAGGACGCGGATTCTATCTATGCATCAATACCTTAAATAAAATAAAGCTGCTTGTTTGACCGCCAAAATAAAAAGCCATTGGCCCATTTCAGATGTCACTTTTCCCTTAATCGTGACGTCATCAGCCACATGACTGCTGTTGTTTGCCCTCAATAGACGTTTTTTAGTAGTGGTTAAAAATCAAAAGATCATCGCTTGTATGAACAAAAGACCTTGTCCTTGCGGGGGGTCTTAGATCGATGGACGGGCAATACCTTAACATGCTTGAGTAAACCAAAACCAAGTGACAATTTTTAGATTCTCAAGACTAACAAAAAATGCTTGGTCTAAGCCGTCAGAACGATCGTTGCGTTTAAAGCAATCCGGATTCGGGAATCAGGAAATCTTTGCTTTTGAATCCGAAACCCTGGGCTTTGGAACATGGAATTCAGAACACTGGATACAGAATCCTGCTAACTATTGGAAACGGGAATTTGAAATCCACAGCTTGAAATTCAGAATCCAAGATGTTTTGGATTTCCTTAAAAGGAGCGAGAATAACTATTGACTATTCGATATACAGTGGCCATGCACCTAGGAATGCCCTTTGGCAAGTAATAACTTGCTTGTATTCGAGTGTATTAAAGACTGAGGCTTACTGCCCTTTTTTCGAATAAATCCACCAATCACAAATCACAAACCATGACCTTTTGAACCCGTTAAAGTAAAGTAGTGTTTTCTAAGAGGTCCGTTAAGATGATTGACGGCAGCGAAACAGTCAGTTGGCTGTTGAACTTCAGAATTCGCATGTTTGTGAAAAGGGCAGTAAAGAAACGCAAACGACATTAAACCAACGTTTCTTTTAGCAGGTCATAAGTTTATTAATTTTTCTAAAATATTTGCTTCTTCAGTTACAAAGCCATAGTCTTAAGTCGCAAATGGACAGTAATTTAAGCCTGTTTTAATCATTCGTACTACAAAAGACTATTTAACAATATCGAACTCAGTAAACTCTAGCTGTAGGTGACTCTATCGAATCAAAAACAGTCCTTTATACTTTGTATAATTAACTACTTTGGTTCCTAATTGATCTAATTAACGACAGCCACTAGGATCACACACAAAAAAATTTGTATAAACTTGCTACGCTTAGCGCAAAGGAACGGCCGGGAACTTTTGCCTTCAATTAACTGTGAAAAGCCATAATCAAAATATCGAATGCCTCTTCTAAAAATAGCGATCTCGTCTACCCTCCAACTAACGCTTTAAAAAAGCTGTCTTTATCTAATAAAGAAATCACCACAGTTTTAAAAAGGACTAGGAATTAAATGTTTTATCTTGATAACAGATGGACTTGTAGTTCCTTCTCGACATTTTTAAGTAGACTTTGCAAACCTGCCCTCATATATATCAACGCAAGAAATTAAACTTCTTCACTAATTTGTCTGGAGGGTGTCAGGAAACTATTCTGTCACTATTCTGACCAATCAAACACGCGCACACAGTTAAACTAACCAGTCAGAGCAAATAAATGCACAACCTGGCGCAAAGGCGGGAAAAATAAGCATGCATGCCGACAATTAACGACTAGTTTACCTCTGACTCGTTCACAAAGGGGCTAAAAATTCCAGCAAATATCAAAAGTAAAATAAATAAAATGATAAAAAAGCAGCCATGATTTCTCTTTACACACTTAGATGATAAATTCAAATTGATTAGTAAATTCAAGACCACATTAAGACGGACAAGGTCTTCTGTGAGCCTGACGACAATTTGGCGGGAANTTTGCAAACCTGCCCTCATATATATCAACGCAAGAAATTAAACTTCTTCACTAATTTGTCTGGAGGGTGTCAGGAAACTATTCTGTCACTATTCTGACCAATCAAACACGCGCACACAGTTAAACTAACCAGTCAGAGCAAATAAATGCACAACCTGGCGCAAAGGCGGGAAAAATAAGCATGCATGCCGACAATTAACGACTAGTTTACCTCTGACTCGTTCACAAAGGGGCTAAAAATTCCAGCAAATATCAAAAGTAAAATAAATAAAATGATAAAAAAGCAGCCATGATTTCTCTTTACACACTTAGATGATAAATTCAAATTGATTAGTAAATTCAAGACCACATTAAGACGGACAAGGTCTTCTGTGAGCCTGACGACAATTTGGCGGGAAACCCGATGAAAGATCATTTGCCACCCTTGTGTAATCGTTAAAGATCAAGTCTGTAACCACATGTCCCTTTTGCTGCTTTGGCTGAATATTTTCCGCCAGCGTAATATATCCTTCACATACGTGAATATACAAAAGTAAAAAAGGAAAAGAAAATAAGCATAAGAAGCAAGGAAAAAAGAAATTGATAAAATGAATGTGGTAAAATATTTTGGCTCAAAACGTTTCCAGTTCAGAGACAAGCTATTCACAATTTATCATCTTTCTCTTCAATAGCACCATTGCTCACAGCGTTGGCCTCCACATCATCATATGGCACCTGTTTCAAAGAGAAAATTTGTAATTAGTTTAAGTTAAAACGTATCCCTGAGTACCTAAGGTGCGTCTCACCCACGTGCTAACAGGGTGGGGTGTTCCGATAAAATGCAGTCACCTAAAAATATAATATAGTAGAATCCCGGTTACTCGAACTCTGAAGGGAAAAGAAAAACAGTTCAAGTTAGGGGGAGTGCGCGTTATTGGGGTAAATTTCAGCAAAATTATGATAGGGAAAGGAAATTTAGTTTGCGTTAGCGGGGAATTTGAGTTATCCGAGTTCCAGTTATCGAGGTTCTACTGTACATCAAATAAATGTTTATAAGTCCAGCTAAGTATGTATACAAGACAATTTCGTCGAAAGGATATCTTACCTCAGTAAAAGTAGCCGATGAAAAGGCTAACTATGAAGATAACATCTTTTCATTTCTAGTTAGGTCTGTTTAAGAATATAGTAGACTAAAAGTGGACTCTTATTTTCCCTCAGGTATTGCGGAACGAGTGAATTACGCGAGCACGCGTGAAAATTGCCACACGCGAGGAAGGTGGTACGGGGAGTCAACACTAAGAGAGGCTTGTTTAACCAGAGTGATGGTGGTGCTAGGTTTTGAATGTCACGTTGACATCGATCGTTCAAACTTGTAAAATGCATTGAGATCTTACCTCCCAGAAATCTTCATCATCATACATCTGCTCCTTGGTGGGCGGATCAAAGATCTTCAACCTCGCAATAAAACCTACAAGGAGACGACAAAACGGTGAAAAACAAAACATACAATCATTATCATACAATAAATCATTTAAATCGTTCTTTTTATGAGTTTTTATGGACTGAGACGAAAAGAGCCTGACCAATATCCAGCCATCTTGACCTCACGCTTGGTCAAAAACGTATATTTATTATATGGCTAAATCCGCGAGAGGACAAGATGAAGCGAATCCTGCGTTCTGATTTGCTACACAAGCGGGCAAGATGGGCCCACGTCCCGTAAGAAAACATTTTCTTTATGGCCATATAATAAATCCCTTATTGACCAAGCTTGTTCGGTCAAGATAGCTGGATATCCCGTCATCTTGACCTTACGCTTGGTCAATAGAGATAATTAGAGTCACGTTTACGGTAAACGTCAGACTCAAGTTGAGAATTTCTCAAAATAGAGAATACGCAGACAAAATAGTTCAAAACAATTCTTAGGGATAAGACTGGCGTGAAACAAATAACCTTTTTGTAGAAGTAATGAACGGTAAACGACCAGAGAGGGGAAAACTTGGTCGCGTGATACAAAATTCACGTTTGCCGTTTTCCTTTTCCGAAGTTCCAACGAATTATTTTTTATTCTCTTCACCTCTTTCAAACGGTCTGGTGCAACAGGTCGCACTGGGTATGGCGTCAAGTGGCCGTTAACTTTTTTTCCTTTTGGCCCAAGAAGAGGTAGAAACAGGTGGAGGTCAGTTTATCGTGGGATAGATATTTCAATCCGCTCTTTGACTACCTTCATTTCTTGAATAACTCTCACTTTTGTCAAACCTGTAGTATAACGGTCAACCTGAGGTTTTATCATTTACACAAACCACCTGGGTGGAAATCTTGTGCATAAACATAAAACCATAAAATTTGACGTAGCAGACTAGAGAACGAACTGCTAGGGAGTGTATCAAAATCAGCTGAACAAGGGTAGAAACATTTTATCACTGCAAATCGCAGCCCATATTTTCTGAAGGTTCTTAAATGGAATTACCTTGGGTGCCAGAGGCTTTTCATGCGCGGTTTCCTGCTTCGGTCAAGTCTTTAAAAGTGACCCTTCTCGCGGCTTCACCGCTTGTGTCTTCGGCCTGCGGCCGACGAAACGAAGCTCCCCGTCGCAAGCGAGAAAAAACCTCTGGTACCCAGGGTAAAATGGAATAGAAAGAACCACTTGATTTTCCAACCAGGATTTCCCGTTTTCCCAAGTAAATGGTTAGTACCCCCGTATATAACGGTCAGTAAGCCAATCCTAAAGGGTGACCGCTTATTACAGGTTTGACTGTACTACAACAAAGATTTTACCAGTCACGATTCCACCGATGACAGCGATGCCAAGAGCGACCGCGAGACCAGCGATCTGGTAACCAGCCTGGGCCTTTGCAGATCGACCGTCTCCACTGACAGTCACACCCAAGTTCATCAGCTTAAGATGCTCTGTTGAATTCTTCTCAGGAGCCATCCCAGGCCAAATATTGTACATGCTGAAAATTGTCAACACAACAACATCCAATTAATAATGGTGAAAGGGCTGAGTGGAATCCAGTTTGGTCAAACTTTAGTTTGTCTAATTCGGAAGAATGGTTACAGTCGACTCTCTCTTAACAGACACCTCTATAAGGCGGACACCTAGAGTTGGTCCCTGCGTTTCTTTACTCCCTTTATTTGACTCTCTATAAGACGGACATCTCTCTAAGACGGACACTTACTGCCGGTCCCAAAGGTGTCCGTCTTAGAGGGAGTTGACTGTATTTCCAATAGACCCTTCTCCATAGTCTTTTTCAGCTTATGAGTGCGACCAGCTGGTAAGAACGCCTTAAAACCAGTAAAGTTGCCAAGTTCGAAAACTTTTTGTTGAAAACTAACGAACATATAGTTCCACAAAGTGGCAGAATTTTACAGACATTTGTAAGGTGGAGCACAAGTTCGTGCGTCCCCCCGCCCTGCCCCGCCCCGCCACCATACTAGGCGTCTGTAAAACTTCGCGACTTTGGGAAGCAACATCTTTGCTCTCTTTGGACAAATCGCCTTAAACTTGGTAAGCTACATTATTCTAATACCCTCCTTGACTTTCCGGCAGTATCGATGGATATTCGCTTACTTTTCTTTATCAAAAGTTGAAAAAAAAATTATAATAATAACAATAATAATAATAATTATAACAACAACAACCTTGAAAGGGATATTCTCTAACTATCCAATGGAACACAGTATTAGCATAAAAACAAGCATCATCTTACCCATCATATCCGTATTTGTCAGCGTTTGCATTTGCAGCGGCTATTGCGCCCGCGATGGCACCGAGGATTCCCGGCATTCCGTGCAAGTTGTTCACACCACAGGTGTCATGGGTCTTGGTGTACTTCGTCAGGAATGGCTGAGAAATGAATCATAAATTTTGCATACTTTTAAGTCGAACCACTGCAGATAAAACTTTAAAGAATACGATGGAGCAAAACGGGCAAGAGGAAAAATAATGGCTACGCAAATGATTAAGGGCGCAAATAGAAGAGGCACCCTTACTTCTAGCCTTTCGCGGCATTGGCGCTCGGTGGCGTGCCACCCCACAAATTCTAATACACCGTTTGAAGTCTTAAAATGGCCGGTCCACGGGGTGAGTTGTACAACAATACAGGCAATGTATCCGTTACGGAAGAGTCACTTAATGGATAACACTTAAGTTCGTGGCCATGGTGGCTAGAAAGGCAACCAGTGTGGTTTGTAGTTATCAAACACGTTCTTTGGAGAAAGACCTTGTTTACTTACAGTTACATAGGCGTATCCCACGGTGCTCAGTGCGCCGGCACAGCAGCCAATCAGAAGAGCTCCCCAAGGGCTGATTGACATGTTAGATGCGGTTCCGATGGCAACGCCTCCGGCGAGGGTCGCATTTTGCACGTGGACCTTTGAAAAACATAATCGAACAATTAGCTAATACCTTCTTTTTTAAATGCATTTCAGTGCAACTTGCAAGTCTCTGAATCATATTCCATGGCTGAAAATTACAGTAAATCCTCATGTATTTCTGTAGTTTCCTTCTTGCACATGGTTTTCCCATCTGTTAAGTGTCTCTAAACATTTTTGCTAATTCTTGAATTTTGCATTCGAGTAGCGACATTCTTGGCAATAAGACAGGTTAGCCTGTGCTCTCTCTACTGTACCATTCTTGCCCCTCTAACCCTAACCTTACCCCCACCCCCCCCCCCCCATAAAATAAAAACGGAAAGTTAGTAATGTTCTCACCATACTCAATCTCCACTTGCCACCTTCTCGCTGAAAGACTGGTGAGAGAGCGAAAGTCGTGACGCAAGCGGCAGCCAGTGAAAAGTAGGTGTTGATAACAGATCGATGCTGGGCAACATAATCAGGAGCAACAAGGGCCGCATTAAAGCTGGGCCAGTACATCCAGAGGAAAACGGTACCTGTTGGCAAAGACACATCAATATATACCCGCAGAAGTACAGTTCCCCAGAGAGTGATTAGAAATCAGCTTGCCTGCGTAGCTAGCGGGATTTATCGCGCGCTATTTCTTCATTCAAGGGTTTAATTTGACGAGTAAGCCGCGAGAAGAATGATGACGGAGTTTTTTCCACGCGGCTTCGCTTCTAGCTTCGCGCATAATCTCCCCGCCAAAAACTACAAACCCACGCTGATCTCCGGCCAGCTATACCAGTATATATAAATCAACCGTAGCCTTATAAGCTTAGGGGGAGTGGTTATTCTGACCAAAGCGCAGATACAGATTGTGTGCGCAGTGCCTAGAATGATACGCATTGACTGGGGCCAAACTTAAATGCATACATTTACTGTTTTCGTTTACTCGCAAACAATGTAGGTAGGTACGTTTGTTAACGTAAAAAATGTCGTTCTTCAGTAGACACGTCTGATCTATCATATGGACTAAGAATGCATGCGCACTTGTCAAATAGCAAGGGTAGTAAGGATAGTGAAAAGCTTATAAGCTCAAAGACATGACGATCAACTTTGATCTTTACTGAAACTGGTGAATGTTTTTACGCTGTTCCAACTTTTCGGCTTATGGACAAAATGCTATGGTGGATGTACGCAAAACGAAGATAAACTTTCTTTACATTGATTCTTTTCATGCTCCTTTTCTATAACCCCTTTTTTTATCAGTTCACGCATGTAACAAAATTGCTCCTTGTTAATTATCGGATTAAGGCTTTCCTTCTGAATAAGGATCAAAAATTTGTGATCAAGAACTCACCAATCATGGCAAACAAATCGGAATGGTAGTTTGATCCCTCTTTAGGACTGTCCAAAGCTTTCTTGGTATAAAGAGTTCGAGACAAAGCCAGTCCGAAATAAGCCCCAAAAGCGTGGATAATAATGGAACCACCAGCGTCGGAAAACTTCAGAAACTCGACAGCAATTAATTCGTTGATGGCGTAGAAGATAATCTCGAGCACACCGATGACTAACAATTGTAGACGGCTAACTTTTCCCAAAACAGCTCCATAGGTGATCAGAACTGTAGCGGCGGCAAATTCTGCGGTGACCAAACTGCAAGAAACAGGAAATGTTAGAGACCTTTAGATTCTAAGACGAGGACGACAATAAGAACGAGATTTGCTCAGCACTAAGTAGTTCGCGCGCGTGAGCCAGCCAGCGCAATTTTGGCGGAAAAACACAATTGCCGTCATCGTCATTCTAATACGGTTTTTACCGAGACAAGGAGTTTTAGCATCGACGACGGTGAAGGCAGCAAAAAACGCCAATGAATTCGCTTTGTTTTAAAGCCTTGTCGCGTTAATTCCAATTCACCGAAAATGTCAAATGTTGGTCTATTTCCCTGGAGTTGATTTCTTGGGGACCGCACTCAAGTTTAGAAAGACTGAGAAAGAAAAATTCTTCGTCGCTTGTCTACGTCTTTCATTGAAGGCCCATAAAAGGTGAAATTAGGCATTTTCACGTCGTAGTCGTGCAGTGACGTCAAAGAAATGTACAAAAAAGTGCAANTGTGATCAAGAACTCACCAATCATGGCAAACAAATCGGAATGGTAGTTTGATCCCTCTTTAGGACTGTCCAAAGCTTTCTTGGTATAAAGAGTTCGAGACAAAGCCAGTCCGAAATAAGCCCCAAAAGCGTGGATAATAATGGAACCACCAGCGTCGGAAAACTTCAGAAACTCGACAGCAATTAATTCGTTGATGGCGTAGAAGATAATCTCGAGCACACCGATGACTAACAATTGTAGACGGCTAACTTTTCCCAAAACAGCTCCATAGGTGATCAGAACTGTAGCGGCGGCAAATTCTGCGGTGACCAAACTGCAAGAAACAGGAAATGTTAGAGACCTTTAGATTCTAAGACGAGGACGACAATAAGAACGAGATTTGCTCAGCACTAAGTAGTTCGCGCGCGTGAGCCAGCCAGCGCAATTTTGGCGGAAAAACACAATTGCCGTCATCGTCATTCTAATACGGTTTTTACCGAGATAAGGAGTTTTAGCATCGACGACGGTGAAGGCAGCAAAAAACGCCAATGAATTCGCTTTGTTTTAAAGCCTTGTCGCGTTAATTCCAATTCACCGAAAATGTCAAATGTTGGTCTATTTCCCTGGAGTTGATTTCTTGGGGACCGCACTCAAGTTTAGAAAGACTGAGAAAGAAAAATTCTTCGTCGCTTGTCTACGTCTTTCATTGAAGGCCCATAAAAGGTGAAATTAGGCATTTTCACGTCGTAGTCGTGCAGTGACGTCAAAGAAATGTACAAAAAAGTGCAGTTGTTGTTTTACTAATTAAACCAATTGCTTTTTTGCCGTTCTCGTTGCCGTTGCCGTCGCCGTGTACAGCCGTTCTCGTTGCCGTTGTCGTCGCCGTGTACAGCCGTCGCTCCTTGCTCCTTGCTCCTTGCCGCTATAGGGACGTTTTGACTGGAGGGACGGCGTTACTCCTGGAGAACAAACCCAAGCAGCGAGGAATAAGGAGAAATAGCTGTATTCGCAGGCTACTCTTTCTTTATAACGTGTAGTTCCAGAAAAAATCCCTACTCCCTCCCCCACGGAGGTCAACGGAAATTCAGAAGGGAGTGGGAGGGGGTCCAAAAGGAGGCGATTTCCGAGAGGGTGGGGGCGGCTTCTCGAGGTCTTTTGTTCCGAGGGCTCCGATTAAGATTGGTGAGTTATTAAAAAGTAACACTGTTCTGTTGAGCGAGCTATCAGTTATTTTACTGATAATCTGTGTTGCAAAACAAAAATTGTTGTTTTCATCGATGATCTTTTATTTGCAGTCGGCTGAGTACTTTTTTCACGGCTTACACGATAGTTTATGTAACACGATTGTCGTCGGCTGATGAATAAACTTTCGGTTATCTATCTGTTCCTTTTAATTGTTACACAATATATTGTGGTATTCACCGTAATATGGTCATGTTCTGGTAAGCCTTCGTCCAACATGTTTCACCCACAAAACTAAAGGTCTCTATTATCAATGAGTAAAACAAATTCCTCACTAGACTTAAAAATCACCATCAACAACTATCTTTGAGAATACACGCATATCGACATTTCAGTCCTAGCATAGGCTGGATTTGAAGAGCCTGTTCGGGGGAGGAACGAGGACTCATTTCTCGAACAGCGGCTGGTAATCGAGCCCAATATGGCAGAATGCAGGATTCCACATCGACCTAGTTTAGTGTCTTTGCTCCTACGAGTTTCCTGTATAGCTTAGTGGTAGCGCCTCTGGACTAGTAACCAGAGACGGTCATAGGTTCGACTTGTGAGCCCAGTTGTTCGAAGGCCGATTAGTGCTCAACCCAGGGTTAAATTAAACCCAGGTTTCTTTTTCTTTTGTTCAAAAGTATTTTCTCGGGTATTTTGGTCTGTTATATTAAGAGCATCCAATCATCAACTTGTTGACAAAAAAAATTAAACTAAATTTACTTTTTAAGCCTTCATATCTGAATTCAAATTTCGCACTAACCCTGGGTTATCTCAACCCAGCTTTGAACAACCCGGCCCTGTATGTTAGGATTACTCGGATAATTGCCCATTTTTAACGGATTTACCCTAAAAAGGTCACCTAGAATTTTCGGGAGCCTTTTTTCTGGCTGAAATTTTCGGAAAGGTAAGTCTTGATCCCTGTAATTTTCAGATCACTGTATCTACTTTTTAAATACTATAATACGTTTAACAATGCTATGTTTAAGTGGTTTTGAAGTATATTCTCGTTGGGTGCCCCTGATGTCACTTACTGAAAACAAACAAACAAACAAAAACAAAACAAAATGAAACCAGGCTAAAAGCCAGACACGCTGCAACACTTTCGAGTAGTTGAAGGATGCGAAAAACCAAAATAAAGATACTCACGATTGAATGCTAAGTTCAATATGGCTGTGTCCCTCGGCGTAAATCTGATTGAAGCAGCCTGATATAATGGTTCCCCACTGTGTAATAAGAGCAGCGATAAAGAAGTTGTACCCAACAGCTCCATAGCCATACTTCTTTAGGAAGGTCATCAGAAATCCGAAACCGATATAGATCATAACATGGACATCTTGGAACACTGGAAGAACAAAGAAAAATTTAATGAGCCATGTCGCGGAATTCAGCCAAATCCAGCCATGAGGAATTGGCCACCGCATTAATCTACGACCGCCCACTGTCCCAGTAAAACCGCGTTCATAAAAAAAAAAAACAGGTATAGGCCACGAACCTTTATATCTGGTCGTGTTAACGAAGTTGTCCGAAAAGGGAACAGTACAATCTTGCTCGGACCAGAAAGGGACCGCTGTTAGCTTAAATCATAGTTATGAATTGCTTATAAGGATGCCTTTTCAACCGCTTGCAATGCTTCGAAAAATATTTTAAAAAAAACGTAAAAACAAAACTACACAAAACAAAAGAAAAACAATGCAAGAATCTCAACCGGGTCACTTCAAATTAATCGGCCAATCAGAGCCAGTTCTACAAAAAAGGAAACTGACTTTCTACGTTCGTAGGTCAGTCAAAAACGAGCTCGAAGGTAATTGTTTAATTCAAAGTGTTGGCAATCCAATGCCAGTGAGTTCGAAGCCCTGTAAACACGGTGTAGTGTGAAGGAAGACCATTCAAGTGGCGTAACTGTCATCAAGAAGAAGAGTGGAATGTGACCCTACCAAGCTTGATTTTTTAAATTCCGCCAGCGCCCCTGATAATATTTCTTTCTTTAACAACAAAAGACCGCTATTTCATATTCATTGCGAAATTAGTGCATATAAACAAGGCATATAACAATGGTCGCGGGCTATTGATTTCAAAATGCAGAATACGTCTTCAAACTCCCACCATACTGCCCTTTTAAAGGAAAAAGAATTCTATCAATTGTTGCGTGTCATTGCCTTCTGAACTATCCCTACTGGCGATAAAGAATTTTTTAAATTAACCACATCCTGAGAAGAATACTAGATTTGATTAAGATTACAAAGGGCTAAATGTGTTTGATTTGTTTTGCAGATTTTTGGTGTATTTTTACGAGAAGGCACCAACGAGGAGAAAAAGGCGAACTTGCGGAGTGGTTTATCCGGACAACGTACAACTATGTTGAAAGAAAGTGGCGAAAAATTGTTTCTGGATATCGAATATTAGAAAATTTTATAACTGCAAGAAAAGAAAGTGTTTTCTATATACTATCGTGCACACTATCACGTAATCAACTTTATTCTGGCTAACATGGGATGAATTTTCTCATACAAACCACAAACCGGGCTGGATCTGTCATCAAAAGCCAGCCCGGACTCTCGAGCACACTTGTACAGGCCCTTCAGAGACACACCTCCGACCGTTCCCATTTCGTTAAGTTTGTATGTTAATTCGCTGCAATTAATTAAGAATACTTTCTTTTTCACTAAATCAAAATTAACGCATCATTCTTAAGCGAGAAATAAATAAATAAATAAGTTGTTAACATTGCAGGTATCACGAGTATCGATATCAACTAAACGAGGAATTTCGCCACTAGATCAAGTTGTGAGCAAAATAAGCGGTTTAGTCGTGGTTCGAGTATGTATTTCCATCTTGGTCAGTTGAGTCACACTTTCCTGACTCTTTCTGCTTGAGCTGAACGTCTCCTATCGTCTTCGCTTATACTTTCAAAGAGAGCGCGATGAATAGCGGGAGTGACTCAAGAAGTCGGATAAGGCAAGTATTTCAACTCGCCACAGGTTGTTTGACCTTTGACTTAGTTTCCGAGCATTTTTCCGAGCTTTTAATCCTTAAGAGTAAACAGCACGGGCAAGCGAAATATGTTGTTTTTCTTAGAGGAAGTTTGCTAACTGCTCATAGAATTGAAAGTAATTTGACATAACCACATAGGCTTGCAAGAGATCTGTAAGCTAAGCTAATTTGTCCTAAAGTTTATTTCAAGGACCTTTATCAAAGTTCAAAAAAAGGAGGTATTCTTCTGCTCATGTGATATATACAATTCAATACTGCTTTTGCAACAACAAAGTTTAACGAAAGTGAAAAATACTATTAAGCGATAAGCTACTTACTCGGGTAATAAACCGTCACATCGTTGACTTCCAAGCTGGGATTAGACGCTGATGCGTTTTGATTAGCCCCTTTGCGTTTATGAGGGGGCAAAGCATGATCACCATACTCCACCAATGCGCCGTAGAGGATGATTATCAAGATTTGAAATAAAGCTGCGACTATACAAAACTTCATAGCTCAAAGTCGAGTATTTTTGGTTACACCCAGATAGAAAATGGCCACAGTAGCTTCGACGACTTGGCTGGTGGGTTTTAGCAANCATCAAAAGCCAGCCCGGACTCTCGAGCACACTTGTACAGGCCCTTCAGAGACACACCTCCGACCGTTCCCATTTCGTTAAGTTTGTATGTTAATTCGCTGCAATTAATTAAGAATACTTTCTTTTTCACTTACTCAAAATAAACGCGTCATTCTTAAGCGAAAAATTAAATAAATAAACAAATTGTTAACATTGCGGGTATCACGGGTATCGATATCAACTAAACGAGGAATTTCGCCACTAAGTTATGTTAGCAAAATAATCGGTTTAGTTGTGGTTCGAGTATGTAATGGTTCACTGGCTTTTCCATCTTGGTCAATTGAGTCACTCTTTCCTGACTCTTTCTGCTCGAGTTGAACTTCTCCTATCGTCTTCGCTTATACTTTCACAGAGAGTGATGAATAGCGTGAGACCACAATTTGTGTAATGGCACGCAATAATCCATCAGAAACCCTTATGACTCAAGAAGTCGGATAAGGCAAGTATTTCAACTCGCCACAGGTTGTTTGACCTTTGACTTAGTTTCTGAGCACTTTTACGAGCTTTTAATCCTTAAGAAAAAACAACACGGGCAAGCGAAATATGTTGTTTTTCTTAGAGGAAGTTTGCTAACTGCTCATAGAATTGATTTGCTCATAGAAGTAATTTGACATAGCTACATAGGCTTGTAAGAGATCTGTAAGCTAAGCTAATTTGTCCTAAAGTTTATTTCAAGGACCTTTATCAAAGTTCAAATAAAGGAGGTAATATTCTTCCGCTCATGTGATATATACAATTCAATACTGCAATTGCAAAAACAAAGTTTAACGAAAATGAAAAATATTATTAAGCGATAAGCTACTTACTCGGGTAATAAACTGTCACATCGTTGACTTCCAAGCTGGGATTAGACGCTGATGCGTTTTGATTAGCCCCTTTACGCTTATGAGGGGGCAAAGCATGATCACCATACTCCACCAATGCGCCGTAGAGGATGATTATCAAGATTTGAAATAAAGCTGCGACTATACAAAACTTCATAGCTCAAAGTCGAATATTTTTGGTTACACCCAGATAGAAAATGGCCACAGTAGCTTCGACGACTTGGCTGGTGGGTTTTAGCAATGGCTAGTTTTCTGTTCACCGACCTTGTATTTATTTATGGATCGGCATGTTTGAAACGAATTGCTATTGGCTAGACATCTGTCATTAGCTTTGTTAATATGGTTAACGTCTGTGCTATTGTTCAAAGCAACGCTGCTTAGAGCTGTTTGGGTCTATTGTAAATGCATCATATTTCGTAACGAAGTTACTCCACGGATAATCCATGCACGCGAGCCGCGATAAACGAGGGCGTCTCGTCTCGTCCTAATCTCTCATTGTATAACGTCGTCGTTTGCAATCGTGCTGGCTCGGATAAAAAGTGGACGGATTTTAAGAGAAAGGTGGAATGCAGGCAGTCTACATGCTACACAAGAGCCCTTGAGGTGCCAAATAGGGGATTCTGTACTTACGCAATGTACAAATTTAATTCAATTCAATTCGTTCATTGAATTTAGTCCAGATTGCATAATTTGAATGGATTCAACGAGATTTCCAATTTCTATTCTACTTGTCTTGATTGCCCAATAAATGCAAGACCTTCGTTTGTTTGAACTCCGAACTTTCAGACACTATTGTTTAGAGCACAAAGAATTAAATGATAACTAACCTAAAGCAATACTAGTCATAGTACTCAACAGAAAAATGTAGTGGCAAATGGTATAGTAAATCATGATAAAATTTTTTTAAAAAAATACATAAATAAATAAAATATATTTAAAAAACGTACTGTATATGTTTAGCTCTTTCTTTTATCACTTTATAAGAATCAAAAGATCTCTTGAAAAAGTTAACCCAGTGGGTGATGCAAAATAAACTAAAGGTAAAACTTAATGCGGAAAAATATTCATTCGCAATAACTCGAAAGAAATCAAAGAGTGTAATATATTTCCACGAAACGGAATAGTTGTTTATTTGAGGAGGTCAGGAAAGTATTTTTCGCCCTTTTTTAATGGCTTGGGAAACGAAATTCGACATCAAAGACGTGAGCTATGCTTGTTTGACATTCAACCTTTGTATAGACTACAAAGGAACTGTAAATACAATACATAACAATACAATACAATAACTTTATTACCTCTCCCGAAGATGTTATGTCGTAAAAGCTATTGCATTGCTAACAGACCTAACAGAGGAGACCATAGATATAGTTACGCACAACTGCAGGAAAAATGGCGCGAAAAGAAAGGAAATCGTCTGATGGAGATGCCAAAAGTACTGACGTTAAAGGGCAAATTCAGAAATGTTCCTCTTATTTTATTTATTTATTTTTCTTGAAAAAACGACCATTGCAACGTTTTCCTTGTGACTGAATTCAGCTTGCACGAAAATTGTACGTTTTCAAGAATGAACCAACACAGTAAATCTAGAAATGAATGTAATATAAGTTGAATGAAAATACAAATTGAGGAAACCAAAAACTGGTGGTAGTAAAGAACTTTTTTTAAGAAGGATTTGTTCGTTTCTGTGGTAGAATTGCTGGATGATGTAACAAGTGGAAAATTGATTCGGTAGATGGTTACACCCCCCGCCTCATCCAACCCCTCGTTTGTGTGCAGTTGCCTGTGTGTCCCCTGTTCGTAAGGACGTTGATGTGTTTTCGACCCCGGCCTTGACCGGTCTGTCTACTAAGTCTCTTAACCTTAAAAATTCCAATTTTTCTTAAGGTTGGAAGTTTTACTACATTTGTAAATTAACGTTTTGGCAAGTAGGTTTATTTGTCGATTTTCCAACGACGGCGTGCCACATGACCAACTTGAGTGCGCATGTTAGTGATTTTGCTGCTGTACTATATGTTTCTTTGGGTAGTTTCTGATTAAAAATTACAATATATTGTCTTCCTTATGAATTAACCAGCAAACTTCGAAAAAATTCTGATTGACATGCCTATTCAGTCAAAGGATCGATAATCCAAATTTCAGACATGTATGTTGCGTGGCGTGTTGATGGAGTGATGACTTTATGGAAATGAACTTTTCAACCAATCAGGTCGCCAGAATTTTCATCATGAATGTCGTTCAAGACATATGAACACCTCGATCCACGTGGCTACCTAAACACTTAAACGACTTCAACGCTTTATTTTATTTAGTTTTCTTCCAGTTAATTGTATTTCCTGTTTCTCATTTTGAGCTTTTTAATGATTAAACTTCCATGTCTGTTTCCCATTTCTTCCCAAAATTACTGAAGTGTGGTAATCAGTCTTGTGGAACTACAGTAGAACAACAACCTGAGTAGCGTCGTTGGACTTGTATAAATTAATTTGATAACTTCAAAATATTAAGGCTTAAGCAGTCGTGCTGGTGATTGGCGTACACAGCCTCGGCAATTGCCGATTTAATTCGTTTTTTTCTGGCTCTTTTTTCACTGCAGTGCGATGTTCATACAAGTTCAAGACACAATTATCGATTTAGTTATGTTTTTGTACTTAACAATATAACTGGATAACAGCTAGAGGTTTTCAGCTTACCCTCGTGGCGGAGGTTTTCTATTCTTTCCTAATTTCTGATGGGTCGCAAGCAGCGAAAACGTTTTAGAGCAAGGACTATCCGATCCTAGGTATTTTGAGAACGGACCGCTGGTCGGAGCCAGGGTAAATGGAGTCAGGGTCTGCAGCACCGAAACATACTTGAAATAAAAACACTGCCTGACATGATCTGAGACACTTACTTGGATAATAGATCGATATGTCATTGAAGGCCCGTTCGTTTTCGTCTCTGTTTCCTGCACTTTTGTCGCTTTTAGCCATCGGGCGCTGGCCGATTGGAGATGGAAGGGATTGTTCACCATAGTCGACTAGCACCATAAACATTACAATAAGGCTAAACTGAAAAACCAAACTAACAAATGTGAATTTTATCTGGGTGCCGTTGACTGGGCGTCTGCATGTTGGCCTACAGGTAGTGGTTTCGACAGTAAGCGGCTCACGCACAGAGGAATGCAGCGAATCGTCCGCCATCTTGAATCAGAAATCTTGGACACCCGTGGACTTCGAGGCGGAAAAAAATTTGTTTACGTACCGCCACTACCACATTGCCCATAATACACCTTGTTTGCCCTCCAGAATTTTGCATAAGTATTGTTTTTAATTTCTCGTAAGACAACTGTAATACCCAGGAGAAATATGAAAACAATAGTTATAAAAAATTCTGGGGGGCAAAAATAAATAAGGTGCATTTCAGACAATGCGAAAGTGGATCATAGTATAGTCAAAGCTGTTGGCACACGCTTTCTCTTTTCGGGTGCTTACTCGATGTAAATACTCAACTATGTAAATAGAATGTTTGCGATTTTAAAAACAATTTAGATGCAAATTGTTAGGGAGGCAAGAATCTCACGCAATGCTAATCAATATCGGGGCAATTGAACTGTTCAGGCAAATGTCAGACATTTCAAGTGCTCGATAATTCCTGACTGACGCTTGGAAATTTACGTTTGACCATGATAACAAGTTTAAATGTTAGCTACCGCAGGTAACTGGGATTTAAGGATCGGTGCAATGTAATAGTGATCCTTAAGATATTTGAAAGGTCAGAATATTAAGTGAACTGTGGTTATCAAGGGTATTGTTGAATGTGAGACACGTGGGGTGACGGAGAAAGGCGGGGTGGGGGCGTGTAATTTGGTGTGATCAAAATGTGATCTGAGATTTTGTTGCATGAAATGAGACTAATCTTTACAAATTTTTGTTAACTAGTCTTAACGGTTGTAGGTGTGGACGTAGGCAGTTTTAATATAAAAGCGACAACCAAAAAAAGTGTAATAATAACAAAAATAATCCCCTTTATTTCTTATGGACACGCGCGGCACCCACCCCAACTGTCATTCGATATCAATTCATTCATTGTGATGGTCGACAGTAGTAAATAGTTTCTTGGCGCATGAAGAGTCAAAATAGTCTTCAAGCATGCTTGTTACAACTTTTCAATCAAAGGCATGTAAACTTTTTTCTCTTGTTATAAACGTCTAAGCTAATTCAACGACCTGCTCCCAGTTGGCTTGTTAGCTTTGAAAATTGGTAGAGCGCTGCATCGGTATCGCACAGGTCAAGGGTTCGAATCCCATACAAGCCTGATTTTTTTTTTCTGGCTAGCTTTTCGTAACCGCAAAAGTTGCGTATATAACTGCGATGATCTTCCTTCGTATAATCCTTCTTCACTCCGCGGTTCACATATATGAGTTTCATATATTCCATGATAACTTCCCCAAGCTCTTTGTTGCATATGTCAAGATGGGTAAACAATCTCTCACCTCTGCCCTTGAAGAATTCATCATTGACAGGAATTCTATTTTATGTAAATAATCTTTTCAACAAAACGTGCTATGGACCTGACAAGAGCGGAGGCTTGAGAATTACCTCAATACGAACAGGCGTCTTGCATTACTAGCCGATCAGAGTGTAACGTAAGTATTTTTGATGACATTGCATGTAAATATATCACAAAGTATATCTCGAGTATTTCTAATATTCAAAATAAAACCCCGGAGATGTAGGTATACTTCGAATCCGCAAGCGAATAAAGCAACTATTACAAGTAAAACACACAATCTTACTTGGATAGTAGACAGATACATCGTTCACAGTGAGTGTCTCGGTCGTAACGTTCACATCTCCTGAGGCTCCTTTTCGAGAATGCGATGGTAAAGCATGGTCGGAATAATCCACAAGGACTGCAAAGAGTATTATTAGCAAGGCCTGGAAGAGAAGCCCTGTAATTGTGAATTTTAGCCCCATCGCTTACTTCGAGAGCAGAATGTGATGTCTTTTCAATTCAAGCAACCGAAGTGCCAACGGCGCAAATCAACAAACACCGCCCCGCAATTAAGTAAGTGTGAAATTCGACCCCGTTAATCCTGTACCCACCACAATAGCCCCCCACATAGCCTGGATGACAGGTGCTTTATGAGCCAAGCGGAATATCGCGTTCGTCCCGCTTGGCTCATAAAGCGCCTGTCATGCAGGCTACCCCCCACATGATTGAGAACGAAACGTACATGTAAAAATGTATGTAAATGTAAATGTATGTGTAAGTTTCTATTTTGCTGCATTTTATCAACGCTGTTGTGCAGTGTTTTCTGTTAGTACGGCCCGGACGGTAAGCTTTTCTAAACCCAAGGGCAGGGGTTTCTCAAATTAGAATTCACAACCCTTTTATTTCTTATGTTGTTTTCGACATTTTCGGGCAATAATCCAAGAGTAATATATAGGAAGTATTAGGCCATCCGCACTAAAAATTTGTGTCTGAGTTTCGTTTTTCATGGCCCGACCGGAGCGAGACATTTTTGGGGAAAAAAAAGCGATAAACATTTTCTCTGTAATTATCCAATAACACAGAAATAACCATCGGCTTTCATGGTACTACAGATTTTAAAATCGCGATCATTTCATGTTTAATCACGTGTTAGCTTAATATCCAGCGGGAAGGGACGGGGGTGCTGGGAATTCTTATCGTCTCTCGCAATCAGACAGGTAAAAAGGAGACTCAAAGAAAGCTGATAGTTCTACTCATACAGATCTTGTCTAGTGTAAAGAAAAGATTAAAAAAAATCACAAGAGCTCTTAAGTGGTTTTTGGAATTAGTTGCCGGTTTTTGAATAGGCTCTCCCCTCCTCCTCCAACACACACACACGCACACTATCTTCATCAACCCGCGCGCCTGATCACGATGCCAAAAGCGGCCTTCCTTAAATATCAATCATTTCTTTATCTAAAAGCCTCCAAAAAAAAAAATGATTTATTTCGAGCCTATGTCGATCAAACTATTGCGCATTGGCAAAACCCGTGGCCTTGGAAGACAGACACTGTGACATAGATCCTCATAGGTTTTTTGATTTTGATGTTTTAGCGAAAACGCTTAGAAACCATAATTTTAAGACACGTACAAATTACTTTAAATTTTCATTTTTCAATCGCAGCATAACAGACTGGAAAAGTATTCCATCGAACATTATGCATGCACCTTCACCTATCTACTGGAGCTTATTGGATCATTTGTGTCAATTTTAAATCAGGTGTAACTCGTGAGTGACAAGAATGCAATTTAATTAGGTTAGTTTTGGGCCGTATTTAAATTATACTTCTTAATTCTAGTGTCAATTTCAGTATGCAATTTTAATTAGGTTAGTTTTGGGCCGCATGTAAATTTTACTTCTTTGTATGGGAATTTAATTCTTCTCAATTATTCTCCAGTCATACACTTTTTGTATTTTCTGTAATTTATTTACTTGTATTAGCATGACAAAGCTAAGTATTATTAAACTTAAACTTAAACAGACAATCCATCCAGGACCATTTATTAAGACGTTGACCTGTGAGGTTTTTCTGCCTCTGGTAAAAAAGTGTTCACTTTTGGGCCGTAGAATTTAAAATTTGCAGAAGCTATTTTATTGGCTGGAACTCTTTTTCTTTTTTTTTCCAATTTGCGCGCAGCACATATTCGCCAGTAGTCTGCTCCACAAACTTTCTTTGTGTCGTCACGCAACGCTCCTCCGTTGCGTGAAGACACAAAGAACGACTGTAGACTATCGCCAGCGGACGTTGACCGGAAATTCTTCTTACTTTCTTCAAAATCTATTTAAAGATACTTTTATTTGTATTTTTTTCTCTATTTTCAAATTCACCTCAAAAAACTTATTTAAAACGGTTCATGATCACCCTCGATTGACGACAAATTAAACTGAAGTCACGGAAATGTTGAAAAGAGAAAAATCACGGACATCGACACGAGGTTAGCTCCTTAGGGATTCGTCACGCATTCCTCGTAAACTAACGCGAGGAACTGGTGATAAAGTTCCAAGAATGTCTGCCTGGAGGGCTACGGCCATGCTCCTTTAAAATTTTACATCTACTTAGGAGATTACTTGAAGCTCAAGGGAATCTAAGGCATAAGATATTGAATATTTCAGGCATTTGATTTAATGATCATCAATACCCTTTCCCCACCCTACCCCCGCTCCCTAATCATGCCAGCCATGATTCCCGGCACGTGACTGATCTAAACGAATACTCATTTGTCATAAGCTTCACTTGTGACAGGCAATAAATAGGCCAAATAAGTGGCTCTTTAAAAGATAATCGTAATGAAGCATTTTTATTCTTAGCCTTTTGGTCCAGGCGCTTAAAAAAACGAGGAGAAAGGAGTAAGGAAAAAGGCCTCTCCTTGTTTCGCTACGATTACAAGAGTACTGACCATCTGATCACTTGGGTGGATCACTGTCAGGCCAATTTTCATCCTTGCTATGAAGAGGCTTATGTTCTTTAATGTTATAAATGATAATTTCAAGGTTCTCTTGCCGCGGCGTGTTGCATAATCGCATGCCTTAGTAAATATTTATATAGCTCATAAATCTACATTGATTCTTTAATTGAAAATCTACCAATAGTGAACGCGTTTGACTTAATTTGGACGCGTTCTGGCAAATTAACGTGCGCAGGTTTTTTTTAGATATTTTCATTAAACCGCGCTCTTGAAATTTTACGATAGATTTTGATGCTGCATTGGGATCGCAGAGTTAAGAAATTCTCCCTGACTAACTTGAAAAAAACTGCAAAAAATTAATAAAATAAAAAGGTACATAAATTGACTTACTTGAATAATAAACTGAAATGTGGTTGTTGCCTGGGTGTGCGTCAGCGGACACGTTATCCGGTCCTCCTACAGCATCTTTACGTAGATGGGGAGGTAAGGCTTGGTCTCCATATCTCGTAATTGTTCCAAATAATATAATAAGTAGTAGCTGAAACGCGGCCGCGACGGAGGAAAATTTTAGACTCATCTTTTCCTCTTCTTGTTGCACTGGTTTTTGCTGTTTTGGAACCAGCGGAGTGGATTCTGTGAGAGACGGGGGCATAGGGAACGAATGATCGTTCTAAGGCAAAATCCATGGTGAAAGATCAGTTATATGGGCTCAAACTTAAGTGGACTATGAACTGCCCGTCGCTAGGACAACGCCCTGATCTCACAGAAATCATACGGTGCATGGCTGAACTCGTGTTCTTCCTGTGTCCCGCGATGGGTGTGCTTTTTTCCCACCAAAACATGGGCACTAAACA